CGAGAAGGACTTGGAATGATAATGACAGATGTAACAAAGTGAAGGAGAAAAATGTTGGCAGTTTGAAGCCTGAGTCTTCGGGTTTGAAATAAACTAAGTTCAGATCCACACAGACAATGGTTTGCAATAAACTAAGTTCAGATCCACACAGACAATGTAAGGGTAAGGGTCCAGTTGATGTAGCTCAGTGGTTAGAGCACCGGTTGGAAATGCGCATTGTGGTACGAGGTTGCGGGTTCAAAACTCAATTGCAGCCTCGCGCATGGACACCGGCAGGGCGTTAGAATGACGCACGGCTGGACACACACCCCCTTGGGCTGACGCAGGTAGGCTATTACAGACACTGCCTGCACACCACCCAAGGGTTAGTCCGGGTTGCTATATGTCGGCTTCTACCTACGCGGGTTACTGGAGGACATTGGCTACTGGTTGCTCTGTTGATCTCCCCCATCATCTGTCCCCCATCATCTGTCATACACGGTAGGCTATCCTAGTTACATACAACAGATCCTAGGTTCGAGTCTGGCATAGCTGTCATTCACATATACTCACAGTGTCACATGGTTCTTGGTACCTATACTGCCTACAGGCACACCCATATACCGTCAAAAAAAACTGCACAGTCTATGGCCACTGATATACATACTGCTTACACATACAGATGCTACGACATAGATAGACACACCTGCATACTAGTAGAGTAGGGTGGGGAGACCGATCTCTGTCATGGGTTCGTCATGGGTTCAGGCCAGGCTACGAGGAGTCTACTCTGGTCCATGTGAACACTTGGCTGCGATTCGGTTCGTCAGTATGGACTGATAGTGATACTGATTCTGCCTAACGTCCGAAGTCCTCGAGTAACAAGGCTTGCGTGATTAGGCTTCCACTGGGGCTGGGTAGGGGTAGGCTGTCCAGTCCTGGTGCCTATAGCTACTGTTCAGTCTACGTCGCCCTCTGAGGAATAGGGTGATTGTCCTGAGTGCTTGTACCACTGAGGTAGGATAGTAGGTATAGGGGGTGCGTTAGGAGAATTGAAGTTAGGTAGGGTAGGGAGGTACTCCTGCTGTCGCGCATCAGGGTACCCACTAGCTGGTTGAGTTGGAATAGTACCAGGAAGGTGTCCCCTCCGACATCAGAATAGGTGGGGGCCATGAGGCCAGACCTGGCGGGGGCGTGCGATCCGTGATTGGTGCCAGTGGAATACCACCAACTCGAGATAAACCTCCCCATGAGAACTTCCGATTCGGTTGCCAGGAATATTACTGGGTAGGATGCTTACTGGGAAGTCTCCCTCCGGCGCTCCAATGACAGTACCCACCTGGGTCGATACCCGACCTCTATAACAACCTCGGCAACTCGGCTTATATTAAAAAAGAAAAAAAAGGTGTAAGGGTCGTAAGTTTTGGTCATAGCCCAGTTTGAGGGGTCAAAAGTCGTGTCCAATGTCTCCAGAGGCCTGAAAAGAGTCATAGTGTCACGGGGTACCAGGCCCTCACTCAAACGGTGCTTCGGGTACCCCCCCCGCCACACCATTGACTCTTGGAAAGAGTCAGACCCAGCACAGGAATAGCAGGCCCAAGTCAAAGTCCCTAAGGAGTCAACCACGGCCGTAGATCAGATGCACATCAGAGGTTGTCTGCAGGCCTCCAGAAGATTCTAGTTTCATCAGGGACTCGACACATCGGGGTCAACAGTGCATCAAGTCCACTGACTTCAGGGAAATCTCAGCCGTCGACACGGTCCAGAGGAAGGCTGGTCAACGCTTTTCGATGCTATAAAAGGAAGACCTGGCTGAGGGGAGGGACGTTCTGCCTTACTCTTGCTCACAGCCAAGTTGCTGCACGCGAGGCTGGAGTGCTGAGATGCTGGCACCAGATGCTGAGGGTGGGCGCCAGCCTTATTGTACGTGATGGTAGGGCGACCATAGCCGACATAGCTATAATTCGGCGAGAAGGAGGATCCAATCTCTGAGATTGATGGGAGGTTCAAGGGGAAGCTTACCTGGGCTTACCTGTCGCCAGTGTGACTGAGCTGCTGACGGTCTCCACAAAATTGAGGAAGGATTGCACCAACCTCCATAGCTCGACTTGGACTGTGGAAGGAGGATGGGCGCTCTTCTGGAATCTGCACAGTGACTATGTTAGTGATTGCCAGAGTGAGCGCATACATTAGTGAAGTGGCGATGGTGGGAGATGCCCGAAGAAGAACTGGGAGCTGGAGAGAGACATACTTGTATTATAGAATAATTTTGGAGCTCTTCTCTTCCTCTTTTCTGTCTGTTCTCCCCCATATATATCTCTAAATCACTTTTCTATGATGTTCGCTACTTTGGAAATGTACATTCAATCGAGATCTGGATTTCAATCATCTTTGGTGGAGACTGCATCTTCAGCGTTGGGTTAACACTTGTGTGACATTGCTGCAATGCAGGTTCATGGACACTGGGTTTGGTCTCTGCCAATTCTGTGCTATCGTGTGCAGGGTGCTGACCTCGGTGCTTTGTTAAAAGAAACAACAAAGAGTGTCACGGGATGTTATCTTACTTGGCAAAACACAAAGCTGTTGAATATCATAGTTATTAAATTGATGTCTAGTTTGTTCGCCTTCAGTCGCTTCTTGGACGTCCTCACTTCAGTCGGCTGATTGCACCAGTTGCATGCACACCACAATTCCGTCAGCTCGTTCAGCACTGAATTTCAAGAACACCACAAAAACTCTCAACCGCAATCCCCAAATGCTCAGCAGCAAGACCATGGCATAACCTGAGGTCCAGACAAGTAGTGGAAGTGTAAGCTGTGAGACAATTTAATATTCTCTGGGGGTATTCTGGAGCAGTGCCTACCCTTGTTCATGAACAGGGGGTCCCGTGACCGGGGCGCGGTCACGCGTTCACGAGAGCCGTGGATGCGCGCCCGTGGCCAAGCGAATGGGGTGCAGCAGTTTTTTTTGGTCCCCTGAAATGCCCCCCCCCCGCCCCAATATATATCGTCAACCAGAACTGCCTGCCCCCAATATATACATATATATTGTCAAATGGGGCGTGACAAACTGTTTTGTTGGAGTTTCACTGACTCATCAGGAGGCTGAACCCTCAACAGTCTGCAGAATCCCCTAACTGATATATATCATGGCTACGCCGGACCCCGACCCGGACATTTCCGGACATGGAACCGGACCCGGACATTTCCGGACCTCCGGACATGGGGGGATCCGGACGGTCCGGATGTCTGGACAGGTCTGGAAATGTCCGGACCATTAAAAAAAAAACAAAAAAAACAAAAAACTGAAAAAAAAAGTATGTTATGCAGAATAACAATGCAAACCACTTTTGCCTCAGAGTCATGTCAGAATTCCTAACCAAACTTTAGTTAAAAGTCAAAAACTATAAAAAAGCTTAAAAAAAGACTTAAAAAACTAATGCAAGGAAGATGAGCAATAGCGAACTTCAGCAATCAAACAGCATCATACACATGAGACCAGATAGTCGTGACCTCGAACCAATAGCAGAATTGCATCACGAGTTTCACCAAATAAGAGCACACCAAAAGCTCATAATTGACAATGCTGGAATAGTCTCATCATCATCAACGAAGAACCAATGTTGATATCCTATCTGGCGCTCGGCGTCCAGACTACGAATGGCAGATCCTATCTAGCCTAGACTACAATGCCACTGATGACGTCAACAGCTTCCCAAGTACGAGCAGATCTCGGCGAATGCCGCATGCGTCAAGCACCAGGTATGTCTCTCATATCGCTCACAACCTCATTCCCCAACTCACAGATGCCACTTGCACCCAAGGACCACCATGCACCCCATCCAGCATTCAGCAGCGCAGCTTGGCTATGGCTGACTGCTCCTTCCAGCTCGCCCGTGAGCGCGTGAGCCTGGCCAGCGTTAGCAGCAGCGCTTGCGCAGCATGCAGCCAGTGTCCGAATGCCCAATGCGTAGGCAGGCCCTTCTCTATATCGAAGTGGCCTGCTGCTGCGTGCCGTAATGCGGTACTGGGCCCTGGCCCAGAAGCTTCCGGTAGGCCCCACGAGGCTGAGCCTCAGTCCGAAGTAAACAGGCCCAGGGCCTGTGGTGGTTACCAGCACCCAACTGCCCTCAGCCTTTGTTCGGTCCACTTTGTGTATCCGGCCCAGGGCCTGCCTCAGTTACATGCAATGAAAGGCAGCCTGGGCCTGGGCGCTTCCAACCAACTGGCACTGCGCAACTGCCTGAATTTCCCCAGTTGCGTGGTGTCCCCAAAATGGCCTGTAGGCCTCGGTCGTGCCTGCCTTCACTTAGGGCGGCCGACTGTGTGAAAAATAGGCCCTGTAGGGCAAATCGAGGCCCTGTGCCTCCTCCATACTTCTATAGTCCTCTAAGAAGTTCAGTCTTCGATAATCTGGCGTTTTCCCTTCTGCAGAGACTTCTCAAAGTGAGCGACAACCTGTGGAGCGGTCTGCATCAGTTCCTCCCGTGTGAACCATGTATCCTCCTTTGGATCAGTGTGATGTCTGAACCGAACTCGGTACTGCATCTTCGATTTTGGAGGACGTCCCCTGCCTGCCGGTCTTCAAACTGGCATTTCCCTGTGGTCAACGATGTCATCTATGTCGACCTCTCCATCCATGGTTGGGGGCAGCATTGAGTGACGAGAGGGAAACTGATTTGTTTCTTCAAAAGGTGCAAGCTTGGAGGAGTGGAAAACAGGGTAAGTGCGTAAGTGACCAGGGATGCGAATAACATAAGAAGGGCCATCCGGTTCATCCCCAATGACATCTAGAACCTCCCATGGCCCAAAGTACTGTGGCATGAGCTTGCGGGAGATCCTGTGCTCCTGTCCCAGACTTAACCCAAACTCTTTCTCCTACCTGGAATGTAGATGGGCGGTGGTGTTTGTTCTCTGACTCTATCATCGCCGCCTGTGCTTTATGCATCTGCTCAACAGCCTGCTGCATCAGGCGCTCATATCGATAAGCAAACTCTAAGGTTCCTGGTGCAGCAGATGGCTGATTCTCAGGTAGTAGGAAGTCCAAAGGCAGTCTAGGCTTGAATGTCAGTAGCAAGCTGTTCGGGCTTACTCCCGTAGCGCTGTGCACAGCGTTTTTGTATAGGCTGGCGATGAGAGCAAGTTTCTCATCCCAATCTACCTGATTTGGCTTGATGTAATGCCTCAGCAGGTGTTGTACAGAGCGGTTCAACTGCTCTGCCTGCACATTCGCCTCTGGGCGATTACATGATGTCATTTGCAACTGCGTGCCCTGTTCTGCAGCTGCAGCTTTCCACAGTTCACTGGTGAATCGCACATCCCGGTCACTAACTATAGACTTAGGCAGTCTGAAATCTCTGACCCAGTTCTCTTTGAACAGTTTCATCACAAACTCAGTTTTAGCTGTTGCAGGCATTGCGACTAGCCTAGCGTACTTACTAAACCTATCCACAATGACATAGACGTAGCGCATACCACTCTTGCTGGTGACCAGCGTATCCATGAAGTCCATGGACAGGCTCTCACCAGGCCTTTCCAGAATCGGAAGTGGCTTTAGTAGCCCAAGAGGAGCCTGTGTACGTGGCTTGTCCCTCTGACAGACCTGACAAGTCTCTACATACAGCTTTGCGTCTCTCATCATCGTGGGCCACAAGAACCGCTGCAACAAATTGGCTGCAGTCTTCTTGAAACCAAAATGGTCGGTGGCGTCATGACACTCTCCTAAAAATAAATTGCGCAAAGACTCCCTATTAGGCACACACAAATGCTTATTCCCAGCCTTCTCAAGGAACAGCAAGTCGTTGACCAACTCAAACTCGGCAGAAGTCACTTTGTCCTTAGCCTCGAGTCTACGAATGATCTCAGACATAAACGGATCCTCGCGATAGGCTTCCACCATAGCTCGAGTGACATCGTCCGCAAGCTCGAACTCAGTGATCAGCGCACCAGAGAAGTCAGGCCTACGTGATAAGGCATCAACAACTTTGTTGTACTCCCCCTTCAGATACTGGGGTTCGAAGTCATACTGTTCAATGACTTTGATCCAACGCTTCAAGGCATCAGAGAGCACAGGCTGAGTTCTCATCCACTTCAAGGTCTGATGATCAGTCCGGATGATGAATAACCTCCCAAGGAGGTAATGTCTCCAATGGGTTAGTGCCTTGTAGATCGCGTAGAGTTCCTTCTCATAGGTGGACCTAGCCAACTTATGAGACGACATCTTTTTGGACATGTACTCGACAAGCCTCAACTTTGGCCCCTCCTGCTGCGCGAGCACAGCACCAATGCCATATTGGCTGGCATCCGTGGTTACTATGAACGGCTTGTCAGGATCTGGAAGTTTTAAGACCTCATGGTGTGTCAACACATGCTTCAGATGTCTGAAAGCAGCCTCACACTTGTCTATCCACTCCCATGGGGTGTCAAGGTGGGTCAGGTCCGTCAAAGGGGCGACAACTATGCTATAGTTCTTCACAAAATTGCGATAGTAGCCGGTCATCGCTAAGAAGGACCTCATCAGCCACAGACTGAGGACGCGGCTAGTCACGAATGTTGGCCACCTTCGCGTCATCGGGCTTTAAACCCTCCATGGAAATCTCATGACCCAAGTACAAGATACGGGTGCTGCCAAACTCACAATTCCCCCCGTTTACCTTGAACTTGTGTTGTCGAAGGAGATAAAGGACTTTGTCTAAGTGCGCTACATGCTCCTCGACAGTCCTACTAAAAATAAGTATGTCATCAAGGTACACGATGACAAACTCATCCAAGTAGTCATTAAATATCCGATTCATAGCGTGCTGAAAGGTGCCAGAAGCATTGCAAAGGCTGAAAGGCATCACCACAAACTCGTACAGACCGTACCTGGTCTGAAATGCGGTTTTGTGTTGATCCTCGGGCCGGATTGCAATCTGATGGTACCCGGACTTCAGATCTATCTTACTGAAGTATCGACACCCTTGCACTCTATCTAGCAAGTCGTCGATGCGTAGTAGGGGCTCTCTGTTCTTGACAGTGATGGCATTGCGGCCCCTATAGTCAATGCACATCCTCAGTGTTCCCCCCTTCTTCGGTACGAATAGGACTGGAGATCCATAAGAAGAAACACTCGGCCGGATCCAACCCTTCTCTACGAGTTCCTTGAGTTGTCGGCGAAGCTCATCAAGCTCGCCTGGAGACGTCCTATCGATCCTACCCTTCATGATACTAGACCTTAGGATAATCTCTATCGCGTGGACGACCTCCCTCTCAACAACCCCTGTAGGCTCTTCAAATAGATCAGGGTCCTTGGCAACTACTCCCTCTATCTCCGGCGCCATTTTCACCGGCTCACCTGCTGCAGAGATATATACTAGATACATACCCTCCTCCGGATTCTGCTTGTAATAATTATAGAACGCGGCCGCACATATGCATCCGTGGGACTCGATGAGACTACCAGCCTTAAACTTACGTAATTTGGCGGTCCCCCCACCTGGCAAAGTGTGTTTGACCACTTTTTGGTCCCAGTCAAACTGGGGCTGTGCAACGAAGAGGTGCATACCTAACAAGATATCCATAGAGAGATCATCGCTCACTAGGAACGAGACGCGATGTCTCAGTTCCCCTCCCATGTACGGGAAACAACACTCAACATCCTGGAGGTAGTCGTTGACTACCATGCGTTGTTTGTTGGCACATGTCGACTCCACAAGTCGACTCAGGCGCTGCATTTGCCCCTGTAAGCGCAGTCTCTCAACCCACGCGCGACTAATGAAGTTCCTTGTCGAGTAAGTGTCATAATAGGCCCCGGCCTTTCAACCGCCGATGACTAAGTCGCTAATGAACATCTCTCCCTTAGGGGCTTTAGCCAATGCCATCCAAGAAGCTAGTGGGTCTGATCTAGACCACTCCTCCTCTAGCTCCTCTAAGGACTCAAACACATTCATCGAACAGAGGCTCGATGGGTCTGAATGCGTTTGTGGGACGACGATGGCGTCAGTAGTTTGGGCCATCTCTCGAGATGGTGAGGGTGTGTCCACCACGTTGACCCTAGCAGGAACAACTACCATTCCTACTGGCCCGATGCGTTTCCCGGAGCAGTGCCAGAACTGCTGGCCACATTGCTGCCAACGGGAGCGGAAGATCCCAACGCCTGCCCCATCGTAGGCGGGATCTTTTCGGTCACCTTCTTATTTCGGCACTTGAATTGGTTATGGCCATATTGGCCACAACGGATTCAAGCCTGCCGTGTATACGGATCTCTCCACACGTCCTCAACGAGACCTGCTTTCTCCCATGGAGGAGCATTGGGGTCAACTTGACCCCTAGACTGGGAACCTCCACGGCGTCTACCGGTCGCCTTACCTTTTTGAGCTACGGCAGCAACTACTCCACCCCCTGAAGCTTCTACTCTGCCGGCCTCTGAACCCACTCCCGACTGGAAGTTGTCGTCCAATTCGATGGTGGAACCATCGTCGTCAACAAACATGATGCGTCCCTTCACTTTCCAGTTGGGAGGCATTGACTTTTTCCTACCATCCGTCGTGGTGTCTGACCATGCCCTATCTTTGCTTCAAGGGCCTTCTTGCTAAACGAGGGAAAGTTGTGCATGTTAATGTTGGCCTCACCTGCCAACTGATTCCTGAGAGGCATGGGAAAGCATCTCACGTAGGCGGTGAGTAAAACCTGGGGGTCATAGCACACCCCAGGGACATAGATCAGACGCTCTACTGCGTCAGTGGCCTCCCTTGCTGACTTAAAATGCCTGCTATGCAGTGTCAGGATTGCATCAGTAGCCTTTTGGGCCTCCTAAGCATCATGCCACCTGTCTTCCACCAACTTGAGGAAGTCATCCAATTTCTGGGTGAACGCCCAGGCACGAAAGTCATGACCGTACCCCTGTAGCTGCACTAAACCACTCAACCATCTTGCTGCACTCCCCTCCAGATAGGAGGCAGCCACAAGCACTTCCTCGTGCGGCAAGGTAAGTTTGCACTTGACATAGACTGGCACTGCCCTCAACCATGTGTTGAGGTCCTCGCCCCTCTTGTCCCCTGTGAGAGGTTTAGGAGCGGCGATTGTCGTCTTTGGAACCCACTGACTTTGACCCGGTACCTACATCAATCCGGGTTGTGGACCCTATGGTGCAGGCTGCTGCACTGGCTGTTGGGGCTGTGTACCCTGCGACGGTGCAGACTGCGAGACAGCAGGTTGCCTGCTTACTGCAACCTGTGACGGAGGTTGGGAGAACACTGTTCGTACAGGAATCTGTACACTAGGACCTGCTGAGAACCCTCCTGTTAACGACATACCTAGGGAAGCGGCCTGGACCGATGCTAGAGCAACATATGGGGATACTCCAGTCACCGGTGGTACAAAAGGAGAGAATGCACAACGGGCCAGACACCGGGCCCGAACGACGATGGAGCTGCCTGCACTTGCCCAACCAATACAGCCAGACTCTGCCAGATGTCCTGTAAGAGAGTCGTCTGGTGGTCCTGCATTTCTACTACATCTAGCACGACTGCACTCAGCGTTCTCACATCATCATCCATGTGCGTCAAATTCATGCCCTCTAACTCACTAACGTCCGCTTCTCTCCGCTGCATCCTGGCTCTTCTTCTAATCATTCTCTCTTTCTCTGCCTTAATCTCACCCAAAGCCTGTTGTAGTTGTGCCTTGCGATCAGCAACTCGGTGTATGGCGACCTCTTCGGGAGTCATCACTAACGGCTGGCTTGCCATTACGCCAATTGACTGACTCAGGGTCTGCGCGACCGTTGACCCTACGGATCCTGAACTGCTAGTCTGGGAACTCTGATGCGCAAAAGTTGCCATGGCTGCGGCTTCGCTTGCGAAAGCCCTACTGGCCTCTGCTGCCCTAGCTCTCCTCTGTTGTTGCTGCCTCTCCCTAAGCTGGCGGAACAGTAACCTGTCACCCTCTGGTCCTAAGGCCAAGTGGGCTACTGGGCATCTAGCCGATCGCAAGATCCTGTCATCCGGTTGTGGGACCTCCCTGTCACTCATGGGCTACAACACTGTACAGTGCCTGCACTGGGACACTCTTGATGCCTACCGCAGCATGATGTACAAACCAATTTATAATAAAATAAAATAAATAATCGGCGGCTATGTCAGAGATTATACATTCGGGTCCAACAGGTAAGTCCAGATTCCTACAAACGAACTACTTTGACTTTGACTAGTTCGCAAACAGAAAGCACAATGAACAAAGAACAATTTTAAACTATGTTGTCTGTTAGATGTCAATGGTTGTACATCTAACTAATCAAAAACAAAAATAGAATCGTTTGTTGGGTCTGTTTGCAGAATGGAATCTTGCCCAAACTTATCACCTGGAATCTACCCCTCCCTCAGTTCTTCCTTAATGTCTCTTGTCGTCAACGTCCCTGAGCAATCTGGACAGCGTGCGTGTCTAAAGGTGTGCACACGGCCCACCCCTGTGCCCCGAGTCCTGCTGATCTGGCCAGCCCTGCACAATATTTATCCTCGCGTGCAGCGAGCCTTACACCGACCGATTGGCTGATCAGGAGGCGTTTATATGGACGGCCCCCGAAGTCGTCAGGAATTCTTTAACGTCGCAGACAGGACAACGATCACAGCCAATGCAAGGTACCCCCCCGGTGCTTATTTATAGACGCCCGGTCTCGTCTGTCCCATAGGGATGGCCTGCCCCTCAGAGCCCCTCTACAGCGCAGCGAGCAGACAAAGGACAAAGCAACAAAGCATGCGTGCTCTACTCTTGGTGGGTTGGCATGGTGACCGTGACCCAGTGCGTCGTCCAGGGCCCTTCAGATAGCACCGCCCCCTCCTTCCAGATGCTCCACGTGAAGATTGATGATTCTCAAGGTTGAGCGCACACGACTCCTCACATGAGAGGACTCTCAAGACAGAACACACATCCTCACGGTAAGAAGTGTTGAAGAGGGTAGATAAGGTTAGGTGCAACGTACCTCAAAATAGCTGCCCCCAACCACATATATTCTCACCAGATGACCCGATGTTGACTGTGATGACCAATCGCTGCTTCAGCACAACCAGCATTGCACAACCGTTCCACCTCAGCATCAATCACACACCGGATAGTTGTCATCACACTGCGAACATCCAATAATCACCGCTTAGCCTTCCTGGCGAACCCCTCTCCACCTGGGTCGCCTACTTATCTTCGCCCTCCTCACCACACACGTCCCACGACACGGTCGCTCACCGCACACACCGCGTGCATGTACCGCATTAGGCAAAAGATAAGCGCCAGATTAGCGCACCGAACCACAACTCTGATACCAAATTGCAAGGAAGATGAGCAATAGCGGACTTCAGCAATCAAACAGCATCATACACATGAGATCAGATAGTCGTGACCTCGAACCAGTAGCAGAATTGCATCACGAGTTTCACCAAATAATAGCACACCAAAAGCTCATAATTGACAATGTTGGAATAGTCTCATCATCATCAACAAGGAACCAATGTTGATATCCTATCTGGCGCTCGGCGCCCAGACTACGAATGGCAGATCCTATCTAGCCTAGACTACAATGCCACTGATGACGTCAACAGCTTCCCAAGTACGAGCAGATCTCGGCGAATGCCGCATGCGTCAAGCACCAGGTATGTCTCTCATATCGCTCACAACCTCATTCCCCAACTCACAGATGCCACTTGCACCCAAGGACCACCATGCACCCCATCCAGCATTCAGCAGCGCAGCTTGGCTATGGCTGACTGCTCCTTCCAGCTCGCCCGTGAGCGCGTGAGCCTGGCCAGCGTTAGCAGCAGCGCTTGCGCAGCATGCAGCCAGTGTCCGAATGCCCAATGCGTAGGCAGGCCCTTCTCTATATCGAAGTGGCCTGCTGCTGCGTGCCGTAATGCGGTACTGGGCCCTGGCCCAGAAGCTTCCGGTAGGCCCCACGAGGCTGAGCCTCAGTCCGAAGTAAACAGGCCCAGGGCCTGTGGTGGTTACCAGCACCCAACTGCCCTCAGCCTTTGTTCGGTCCACTTTGTGTATCCGGCCCAGGGCCTGCCTCAGTTACATGCAATRAAAGGCAGCCTGGGCCTGGGCGCTTCCAACCAACTGGCGCTGCGCAACTGCCTGAATTTCCCCAGTTGCGTGGTGTCCCCAAAATGGCCTGTAGACCTCGGTTGTGCCTGCCTTCACTTAGGGTGGCCGACTCTGTGAAAAATAGGCCCTGTAGGGCAAATCGAGGCCCTGTGCCTCGCACTAATAAAAGGTAATGAATTACTAATTACTAAAAAACTGGGGTTGTCTAATAAATTGTTATAGAGAGAGAGCATGTCCGGAACCCCAAAAAAAGCATAATCGGGCCTGAAAAACCCCCAAAACAATTTTGGGGGCTTGGCTCCTCAATGGGGAAGGGTCCTGGACCGTTTTTTTTTTTTTTTTTTCCTCGAAATTTGGCAGATCCGGACCTTCCAGACCGGACGTCTGGAGTCCGGACTGAATCCAGGCCGTCTGGACGGTGGTCCGGACGTCCGGATCGTAGCCATGATATATATATACCGGGCAGTTCTGTTTGACGATACATATATCTCTGTTTGACGATACATATTGTCACACTGTAAATCGGAACGTAAAGGCGGAAAAAGACAAAACAAGAAAAGGAAAAGAAGGAAGGAAAGCCCCACCTGTTCATCACCTCTGACGTACAAGGCCAGCCACGTGGATGACAGGTTGAGCGCTGGCTGCCCCCATC